TCGCCTTTGTGAAACATTTTCTTAAATTCTTCCTAACTTCAATCAACATTTTGATACTTGATCTCGGCCAAATAATTTATGAAATATCGTTTCTCCAACCTTGATTGGGAAAATTCAGACATCGATCGCCAATATACCTATCGAAGTTCCGATGGATCCAGAGGTTTCAAGTCGTTAGAACCCCGATAGGAGCTTTGGGTTTTAGGTTAAGGCTTAAGCACGTCTGCTATCGTTCCTAAAGCAATATCGTATCGATTTAAGGGTGGCCAGGCCTTCGAGCACATTACATGATTAAACCGCCCCAACGGCGCAACTACCAGTCGGCCTTGCAGCACTTACCTTATTAAAATATCCACCAACCCTGAACCACCCATCGCGGCGTCTAACAAAACCTTTCTGTCAGTAAAGAGGTCCCCTGCGTATCACCACCGATAACCTTCGAGACCTAAACCGCTTCCGTCCGGTTAAATTCGTTCCGTAAACCCTTAACGCCCGATTTATTAAACGCCCACGTACCTATTTTACTAGAATAAACAAAACGATCTAATTTTAACCTCATTTTTAATTGCCTTTAACGTAACATCATTATTTAAATTAAACGTCGTGTATTTCGAGGGATTAAAAACATCGCTTTTATTTCAGTTCTTTTAGAAGTGCGGAATTTCAAGTCTCAGTACCGGTGCTGAAAAGTTCCATACAGTAAATATGTACTTTGATTACGAGGTCGGAACACTTTAGTAATTTATTTAAAAATACTACGATAAAATTTAAAATCCCGAACGCCTTAGTAGTAACTATTTAATTTATAACGCGCTTATATGCACCGATTTTATATTGTCTCCCTCTAATTGTTCTACAATTTTGATAATAGCCACAACTTATGGGTTAGGACGATATGTATACATCTGTTATAGAATATGCATTCATAAGGTTGGGTGAACACGTTTTCTCGAGTATACTTCTTCTTTAATCAGTATCAGTCTAATTTCATAATCACCAATAAGGCTCACTCATTTTTCATAGGCGCTGTCTTTCGGCAATGGCGTAATGGGTGATGATCGGTCGAATTCCAGGGAAGATGCCTCCCGCGGTTCGCTGAATATTTATTCGCCGATTCCGCAGTCGGTTATTAATTTAATTAGCGAGGCTCTTGTCTCCGCGGAATGGTGGTGCATAATTGAGGACTCCTACGACCTTGCTCCACTCACCGAGATTGAGGGGATGAATAACTCAGAGGACAAGTGCGATGTGTATGTGCGAGGCTACATTACGCCATAAACGTGAGATTTTACGGAATGGCGTTCCTTTACCCCAGATCTGGCTTCGTCCCGATATTATTCCTGTCCTTCCGATCTGGGGAATTGTGCTTATCCGATCCCTCGACCATCTTTCCGGCCTCGGAATCAAACGATGCTACGCAATATTCAATGGAATTTTTCGTGACATCCACTGAGATATTTGCAATTTCTATTGTTTACTAATACGCCTACACGTTAACTCTTTTTTTAAAGTTGATTATCTAACTCGTTACAGTGGATTATAATGGTCTGTCACGGATTCTTATCAACGGCGTCCAAGGGTGTCATTTTCTTCTTTAGACCAACGTCATAATTATTATTTCGTGGTGGACACAATTTTAATTTTTGAAATTAATTGACACGTATTTTCTTCGCGTTACTAATGTTTTGTTAGAAAAATGTATATACCGATTAACTACTTCTTAGTTATTTTCGAGAGTGAAGAGAAGTGAGTATAGTATATTTTTCTGAAATTGGAGTTTTTGTCGTAGGTTCAGGTTTTTCGGGGGTACGCAATAAGTCGCCAATTTTCGTCATGCAGTCGGTGATCTTGATGGTAATTCAATCTTTTTAAGACTGTAGAGTCAGATTACGACGAGATAGAAGGTGCACTCGTACGTGCAGGAAACTCTCGCACATGATAGGTGCATACGCGACTCGCGGATTGCCCGCACCGTGGATTATGCACAGGGTGCAATCTGTTGCACACGAGTCCCTTGGAATTCTTAGCGAGTTCCATACGTGGAAAGTTTCGCCATTTCTGCGCCTTACGGAAAGGTGCCTCACCAGCTGGCGAATGAAACGTTTCGGAAAATCTTTCCCCGATTTCAATGCACCTTCTCCTATCTACAGACCATATTCGCGACTTTATCCCTCGAATAAAGTCCCAAAAAATTCTGAATTAAAAGGAAACATTTCCCACCAATATTATTATACATTTATGTCTGCATTCATATTACCTTTATAATTGTGCCTTCTATGAATAATATAAAGAAATGTCTACATTGCCTATTTCCAATATAACCTCCACACACATTTATTTCTTGTGCAAGGGGCCGTCAAAATTCTTTCATTCTTCCCTCGCAGTCGAAATAATTAATCGGAATATAATGGCGAGAAAATTTTATTCTCTCCTTGGTTTTAATTCAAGATCTGGGAAGGGCTTACCATCGTTTTAGTTTCCATTACAGATGCAAATTGTTTCCTTTCAAACGGGGCTGATATGCAAACGCGCGAAGCCATCCCAAGGTACTCACATTTATATTCAAAATAACCGCGACTTTGCGACGGAAAAGTTTTATTCGCCTGCTAGTGCTTTGTGCTTTTAAGCTTGCTTTAAACGCTTTTATACTCGTGTTGCACGGAAGACCGTGAAAGCTGGGATCAGTCGTCGGCGTTGCGAAATGTATTTGCATGGACACTTAGCGACAAAACATTCACGCGAATTAATCCTCAAAACGCGTTTCCATGCGACACTGAAAGTAAAGTTACCGTAAGACCCACCATTTTTCATGAACAGTGTTTTAACCTGTCCAAAATCGTTGACAAATGGTGTCATGAACGGTCCGTGACGATTTCGACGGCACGAGAACCGAATTGGCTCGATCGTGGTTCGTCGATCGGTGAATTATCTAGTCACATTCGATAACCTCACCCGCTACGAGACAGTAGATGTCTTGTAATAACTCCAGATTTGAAAGCTCTTTTTGCGAGATAACATTTGCGTTTACCCGTTCACATATCAACGAGTTCATTTGGACCTTTTTTGGATAAACCCGTAATCTCTTTGGAAAAGTGATTCACCCATATAATTTGAGAACAAACTGAATTGTCATACTTTCCACAGGGAAAGAAGGTTTCGTTGCTAGCGGGTAAAATTATATCCATTCTTCTATATAATTGTTTATAACTGAATGATTTTGCTTTAATCAAAATCTGTCAGCGATCAACACTTTTACAGTTTACTCAAACCGGTGACGATGTTAGAATCCTTTCGAGTAACCTTATCGAGATAGGATACAACCTCGATACTTTGTCTTGGAATCGATTGCAAAGATGGCGTCTGGGATGCGATAATTCGTTTCACGTGTAGGCTCTAATCTAATCGATAACCTCGATCGAGAAACATCGTCTGAATTCACTGTTGTCAATTGGCCTGGTAGAACAAACGTTACTCTATCAGACTCTATCGGAGTTGGTTTAACAGAGTCAGAGACGTTTGCAAAACGCAGCTTTTAAACGCACTTCATACATACCCACACATACACGGAAATAATAGGACATTTCGGCCTGTGACTAACCAAAAGCTAAATCAGGTGCGATTCACTTTCCTTAAATTAATAGACGGCAACATTTCTACTTAGGTGAAAAAAGTGATAACTAACCCTTTGAAGTTCTGCATCGAAGCTGACTCGGTATTTACGATGTTATTTCAGAAACTAAGACTGCAAAGGGTTATTAAATTTCAATTGATCCTAAAATCAAATAAATTTCTGTTTCACAAATCGTTGACACTCCCCCCCCCCCCCTTAATACAAGGAAGTAGTATATCATAATACGTATATAATACGTTATCTCCACCAGAATCTCTGTCGGAGGTATTATCTAAACCAATAAAAAGCGAACTGACAAATCTAAAATCTAATTCAATGTAGATTACAGAAAAATCATTAATTCAGTCCATTTGTTTCAAAGTTTAGATTTCAAAATTGATTTAACCCTTTAGCTACGAAACACCACTAAGGTGGCTTCTGTCTGAATGGTGTTTTTTGTCAAAATGGTATTATAGTGGCCCTCTTGCTTATCACACGTTCAAAGCATATTTTTAAATAAAACTTCTCATTGCACGACAGTGTGTGTAAATTTGTGTGTCACGAAAGTGGCCCCATTTGGAGTGTGAAACGCTTTTCTTTTCCTCGCAGTTAATTACTGCTTACATTTATCCTTGTATATCAGTACTGAGACAATCTACGTAAACGTTTTCGTTAGGGTTTATGCGTTACTCTGACTGTTAATCATTCGCAATTAGAGTGAAATAAAAATAATACAAAGAAAAGCCACAAATAATTACGCCCGAGACAGTCAGTATCGATTGCATGAGAGCAATTCATGAAAGAATAATTAATATCTAATAATTCTCTTTAACACCGGAACCCCCGGCGCGGTCGATAGCCGGCCATTATCTTTCAGTAGTCTCACTTTCTTCTCTTTTACTGAAAAGTTTCCCAATTTGAATAAAAATATTCATAACATAATAAAAAGAAACGAGTCCGAAATAAGTGAATGTCATAAAATTGAAGAGCATTCCAGCAAACGAAGTAAACTACTGAAAAGCAAAAGCAGTCAATTAACCCTTTAATTACGAAACGTCCCTATACTGGTCTTCGTCTGACCGATGATTTCTTACGAAGCGCCCCTCAAGCGATATTCGCCTGACCGATGTTTTTTTACGAAGCGTCACTATAGTCATTTCATTCCCATGTATTCAAAGCGACAAATAAATCTCGTATTCATATAAAATATTAGCACTCCGCGGCTGAGAAATCCGTACAGGTGGTACATCTCAACGTCCGACTCCGCCGTAGTTAAAGGGTTAACCACCACCGAGCGTTCTAACTTATAGATTCCATTCATCGGCCAGAACAGCCGCAGCTAAAGGGTTAATCTCCTCGAAGAAGAAATTAGAATTCGCTATGGACTGACCTTCGAGGTTCTTGTTCCTGGTGAGAAGGGCGCGCACGACGTCGGGGATGGGCGAAGCGTCGGAGAGGTCGGCGGCGTCGTGGTGGGCGGACGGCAGCGCGGGCCCCAGGGGCGGAATGGGGCCCGGGGGTGGCCGAGGCATCATGACGGAGCTCGATCCCAGGGGTGGAATGGGCAGGCCCACGGGGGGGTGCAGCGGGGCGTGGGCTGGGGTCGCGTTCGGGGGTGGCTGGACAGCAGCGGACATGGACAGGTCCACGCCGCCCAGCAGGACCGGACGACAGCTCACCCCACCCACGCCACCCACGCTGCTCACCGCCGGGAGGATTCCCCCACCCCCCGGCAGTGGTGCGTACGGCAAGTACAGCTCCAGTCTAAGGGCGAAGTGACGAGGCTACGATCGATCTGGACACCCAGATCGATCTATCGCGCCTGCTAGGATTCGGCCACTGGTGGGTCGGGCGGGTCCGATCTTTCGTATCCTCGCCAAGATCGGAGCGGTTCGATGCAGATTGATTCGGTTAATATCCGCAATGTGGCGGGTAGGTTATTCTACTTTGTGGTCGAAATATCGAGCTGGGATCGATGACCCGGAGATGTCGTTACTTCGGTTGCGGTTGGTCCTTGACCCAGGTCCTGGTGGTCTGCTCGAGTTTGTCTCGGTTGGCGTCCGTTTCGAGTATTCCTTCCGGTAGCTCCGAAGTAGTCGGGTCTAAGGTTGATCCGGGGTGGATCGATCGGACTCCGAGTCCGGTCAATCGTTATCTGGTCAGTGGGCGGTCTTGGGAGACCGTTGGTTCATTGGGGGAACTCGGGCAGATTAGAGTCTTGGATTGGTCGCCGGTGAGAGATGATCATTTTACGAGATCTAGCGATCTAGCGGCGATTGCGATCGGTAGAATCTAGGTGCCGGAAATGTCTAGGTACCCGTGCTGGTTGGCGATCTTCTTGAGGGATTTGTTTGTAGGCTCAATTTAGGATCTAACTGATCTACGTCCACGCATTTGGTAAATTAGTCCTGCCGTTTGTTGCTTGAAGTAGTTGTTGGCACGAGGTGATCGGACGATCGTGATGCACGATCAAGATGGATGGCAGTCCTGATAATGGATGGATAGTACCGGCTAGAGTTCTTCTCGCAGACCCTGGAGGAAATTACTCAAGTTCTCGGGCATTTAACTTGTGACTTCCAAATTCGAAAACGCGTCCACTAGTGAGTTCAAAGTTTGATCTTAGGGAGGCGGGGATGGATCTTTCCGATAGTCTCTCGACAGAGACGTATTCCTCTTAAGGATCAATGTCTCCTTCTTCTAAACGCTTAATCCAACTTGCAGATCTATTGAATTTAAAAAATCTTTTGTACAGACTTTTGATTTTGTTACCGAGTCACAGGATCATCCCCACACGAGGAACTGCACTCCTGGATTCCTTCTCCTTCCTTCTGCGTCGAATGTCGGCTTCTTACTCATTCACTTAAACATTCTTCTTCGTTCAACACTTGCAATTGTTAATTAACTAATCGTCCAATCTTCTTGCACGTACAAGTCCAGCTTCGGCAGTCTTTCCCACTCACTGCTGCGTTTCACTCACCACGAACTTCGATGTCCGTTTATCTTTTGACGCTCTTTGTCCAGTCACTACCAGTTTCACTTGACAATCATTTTGGGGTACATAAACAGAACGAGCCCAGTATGTAAACACTCTTGAAGACCCCGTCGACGATCTTCGAGACTCTAACTCCCGAGAAATTTCTTTCTAGGTTCCTGAAACCTGGTTGGCAAGGTCATTAATGGCCTATTATCAGCTTTTGCTTCGACGATCGGTTCAACGTATATAAATAAACTCAGGAGAGGATTAAAATTGCTTTCAAATGGCAGCCGACGGTATGTGGAACCTCAATCAGGAAGGATTAATTTTCCAAATTTTCTTAAAAATTTTTTACTGGAAATCAAACCTATGACCATCAATGTTCTATTCCAGTAGCTCGTTTGGCGAACGATAGAGCATTTAGGCTATTTACGAAATCAGCTGTCGATCTTTACTTGGGCACAGATCAATTATCCACCTTCATTCGCAGTCCGTTGTTCAAATTCATCGAGCTTCTCAGAGGCTCTCTCTTCGGATTAAAAGCAAATTCTTGTCGAACTTTCCTATCAATAGGAAGAAGCTCCTAGGATTCTGTACCCCTTTTGTACGCAAGCCCGGAGGCTTGCAAGCCACCTGATATCTCAAAAAATCCGGTGCGTAAATGCACCGGACACATCACTCAGCTTTTCTTCCACCTTGAAATCGACATCTTTATCCTTTAAAAGGATATTCCGCCCTCTAGCAGGAGCATATCAGGACGATATTAGCCGGGCCTTTTCCGCGTTTCCTCTACAGAATGGCACCACGAAAGAATCTTCAATGGCGACTTTTCCTATTTACTCTCAACCGTGTAAAAGAAGGAAAATATTAAAGGATGCCCAAAGAATATCCCGAAGGTAACCGAATATCCATAAAATGATCGTCGATCCGAGGCACCCGACTTCTGGTAGTGTCACACTTTTTCAAGAAAAATTCAGACAACTCGTACACTCTCTTCCAAGTCCTCCCGCCTGCTCCTGTATATAAGGATGTTATCACTTCCCTCCTTTTACCTCATGATAAAAATGAGCTCATGCCGTTTTATGTAACTACTATTCCTTGGTGTGATGGTTCCACTCTAGGAAAAGACCGCAATTGGTTTCCTCCACTTGTGATAATGCTTTTTAAAACGCAATGGAAGTCCACGAGATGTCCTTCCGAGTGTCACCGTTCTAAAGCACCTCGACCTTCGGCAGGACTCCTCTGCACGGGTTTTAAACCACCACGATATTGCGGAATAATTTCCTCCAGGGGATTTAACACTCAAGTTCCAAGTTAATTCTTTTTATCCGATCGTCCGTTTATCAATTGGATGATAAGATCGAAAGGCAGGACCACCATCCGAGGCACCTCCACCTCCGGCAGGATCGCGCCTCGTCCGAGCGGGCCTGAAGCCAGCCGCGCACTAGTTCCTCGTTCCTAGCTCGAAGACCACTTCGTTCCCTTATCAGAGCACTGCCAGCTCCCGGTTTATCTCGACCATAACCTTGGTTATGCCGCGATCGAGACGATCTCCTCGTGGAACGCCGTCGGAACACTCGGCCGCGCTCCTGGTGCTTCCTTCGGCGTATCTCCTCTTCGCTCCAAGTCCTTTCCGAGACTACGTCCTTCGGAATTCCAGGAGTCGACGAAAAAATCACCTTCCTTGATGGCAGCTGCACGCTGGACCTCGCTGGGACCTAAACCGTCAATAAACATTAGCCTAAACATATGAAATATTCTTTTAAGTACGTAAATTTTGTCTGTGATCGTTTCATCTGCGGATGGAAAGAGCGATTCGTAAAAAGCTGGTGAATGCTCTTTGCAGTTATCATATCATAATCTTTTACGAGACTCCAGAATGTATTTTGACCGTGAATAAATTCTTCCAAGGTATATGGATTTCTTTTTTTCAAATTAAGTCGCGAATAACTTGGGGTTGATTATTGTATCCCCTGAATTTATTCGATTACCCTTTCCATTAAGTAATTTTGGCTTAGTAACGCAAAGTGTTTTTGCTCTTAAATCATTTATTCGAACACCTATATTTAATTAACGTCACGAATTGTTACATACAAACTCAGAATTTTCATGGAATATCGGGTGTATTCCTCCAAGATTGCAAACCACTTACATTTAGTTTCCCTTTCAGCCGTGTTTCCGAAATTTTTTAAAGTTTAGACATATTAGACATTCTCCCATAGTAAAATTATTAAAGACTGCTAACGTCCTTTCAACTTTTTCCCATTGTCCGTCGCTTGTTTATACGTTTACGGATCCCACAATTATACCACGGCGAAGGGCAATGATGTAATACAATTTCACCGTGGATTTGCAAGGTAAATTCCGTGAATTCCTTTCGGCAAGGAAAAAGGGTACTTTCGCATGTAAACATCCTTAAGCGATCCTTCGGTCCTTTCCTGAGTCCTGGAGATATCGAGTCCTCGATCGTCGCTCCTCTTTCTCGGCGGATCGGTAGCGATCCCGCGGCCCTTTTTACACGCGTGTCGATGTAAATCGAGAACTGGGCCCCGATGTAAATCGTAGGACGCGGAGAGCTCGATCGGTCAGGAAAAAGTCGAGGATCGGAGGACGATAGCTCTCCCCGGGGCTCCCCCGTCGCCATTCCTTTTGCGGAGGTCCTTGTGTCGCCAAAGCCGGACGCCGATGAAGAAACGCCGAATTCCGCAGCCCTAGGCTGTCTTTCGTTACTTTTCGGTGCCCGGCGATCGGCGGGACCCCCTCGGGGGGGGGGGGGGGGGGGGGGCTTTGAACCCCGGCGAAAAATTCGCGGACTAGGGCCCCATCTCGGGCCCCGTTTTTCGCCCGCTCCAGACGACGCGGACACCGGTATTCCCCGCCGCGGGAAAGAAGCGCAGGAACGAGAATGAATCGATAAATCGCGGCTCGCAGCCCCTCTTTTGACTAGAATTTTAATTTCTAATAGTTTCACGACGTGGCAGAAATTTCGGCATTCCTCTCGTAAATTAATAGGTTCCCTCCAGAGGATCTATCGTAAGCAAGGGTTTAAATAATTTTTTATGTATCTCGCTGTGTTCCATTTTAATATTAAGATTTTGTAGATTAGTAAAACTTGGGATTCGATAACGCTCTTTGTGTGGAAGAAACAAGAGTGGAGGTGCCGGTTATCAGAGGTAGATTTCGCGTGGGTGGAACAGCCAAACTGCATATCGCCAAAGAAGTAATTCCCGTATGATTGTTTCAACTTCACCGATTAACAAGTTGTTTCGAGTAGGAGGACGATTATCCAAGATCCACCATGGAAATTGCCTTTCGGTATCTATCGCTACTCTATGGCTTAACGGTGCGCTCCGCTTCTTAACCTCAAACCTCCAGGATGTTTATTTTCTGTTGGATGCAAATACCGCCACAATCGACTTCCATGTCGACAAAATTGCAGAATCATTTTGAAGGCAAACTGGGCCCTAACCTTCGGGACGTTTCGAATGTCCGCGATAGTCAAAGTTCGGAGTCAACCGGCGGACTGTCGGGACGCACCAGCAAACCTTCCCTCAGCAGATGAAAGCCACCTTCGGGCATCAAAATCCATCCAACCCACCGTGATAAAAAGCGTCCGGAGAGGCGTCGTCTCCTGGAATCGCGCGACCCGCCCCGACCTTGCCTCGAGGACGCGTAATCCGAATTCGACACCAGTGACGTCACCGCGAGGTTCCCGGAGGACGTGGAGGCCGCGAGGAGTCCCGAGGACCGCGGGGATCCGGGACAACCTGCTGGGGCAGGCTAGGTGCCTCAGGTGCGAACCCTGCGCCGTGGCCTGACCCGATCCCAGGTGCGATTTGATTAGCGGATCCCGAGATACTATGGGCCCGGCGGCCGCGGGTTTCGCGGTTTAGCTCTCCCGTCGATGCGGGAGGCGAGAGACCGACAGACAGTGTGGAGAGAGCGGAAGGGAGAAGAGGCGGAGAGGCG